AAAAAAAAAAAAAAAAAAAAAAAAAAAATGAAGGGGGGGGGGGGGGGGGGGGGGGGGGGGGGGTTGCTCTTATCATCTGTAAGCGAATCACTCTCTCTCTCTTTCTCTCTATCTACCTATACAGAAACATAAGATGGAGAGGGATTGATAGCATATTAAACTATTTCCATATAAAGTACGGGATATCTTGCTATAATCAATAATCACTGCTAGAATGCCGATGTTATTGATTTTTTCACAAAAACAAACATCAATTTCCATTTGATAAAGTTGGAAATAATACAAAAATTAATTTTCTTTAATCATTCATTATGAAAATAGATAGAGAAATATTGTTGTCAAATATATAATATCTAAATAAGATGTTTGTTTGTTTAGCCCCAAAGGAGATGAGGCACAACCGTTCACGCGTCTGCAGTTTGTTAAGAATGACTTTTGCACACGTGTTTACGTGCAACAAGAAAATAATCTTAATTAGTTCTCCCTAACCATTTATTGATTATTCCATAATTCTATAACCATGCTTAGTTTCTTATTCATATATAAATAGTTCTAACAAACAATCGAGAATTGTTTTTTGTTATTCTCTCTCTTTCTCTTTTGCTTCTCCTCCCTCCCCCCTCTCTCTCTGTCTTTTTCCTGCTTTTCCTTTCGTCTGTCTATCTGTATACATGTATGTATGCTTCTGATCTATATACGTTAAATATTCTGAGTTTCATTGAAAGCTCTGAGAGAAAAAAGAAAAAAGAGAAGAGAGAAAGAGTTTCTAAATAGAAGAGAGAGAGAAAGAGAGAGTGAAAAACATAGGTTCAGACCAGGCAACCAGTCCTTATTTGGTTTTCCGCTTTTAGACTGAGAGGGAGATTCAGACGATGATGTTTCCAAAGGAGAGGCAAGCAGAGAATGAGACTGAGAAATAACAAGAAAGTTGATAGAGAAGCTGGAGAGAGCTAGCGACAACAAGAGAGAGAGAGGAGAATTGTCCAAAAAAAGTAGGAGAGAAGAAAAAAAAGAACAACAATGGTTCGGTTAAAACATCATTCATGAAGAATTGAAAGATGTGTCACGTTTTTTGTTTAACAATAACAACAACAAACATGAAGATTAGCCATAAGATATTTGTTAATTATACTACCATATATGGGACACTATGAAGTCGGGTTGATGAGCATTCTTCTGCATTCGTACTACCTCATTGAACGAATCAACTTGAAGCATTTTCAAGCTATCGGAAATTCAAACAAATTTTTCATTTCTCTTCTCGTTCATGCGCCTTTCTCTTCTTTGACTTCTCCAATGATTTTCACACACGTACATAATTTTCCTCATTCTCTCATTTACTTTCGTTCGTATCTTTTTCTCTTCTTTCTGCCGGCTTCTTTTTTCTTAATTTTCCCACTTCTGCCTTGCCGGCTGCCTTTCTTCTCCTCTCTCCCCCCACCCACCCTCTCTCTCTCTCTCTCTTTCTATTCTCTCTTGTCCTCCATCAAAGTTCTTCTCCCGCATTGAGCAACAGTACATCATACAGTCACAAAAAAAGTAGCCGGTTCATAAACTGAAATCATATCAGATTCCAAGTGGAACATAACTCTAATCAAAAAATCGTAAGACTAACTCTTTCGTGCTTCTCAAGCATTTCGACATCTGAAGCTGCGAACAATCAAAATTGATGGACACATTAGAACACTGAAACTCTCATCTAATTTCCTACATGTATCTATACAATCACAATTCTCTCTCTTCACAGTACTTCCTGGCATCATTTTTTCCCACCTGTCTTCTCTCCATCAAATCTAGTTTGATAAGGAATCACAGAAAATGGACGCCATCTAACTCATTAAAATGATAAGATAAATAAGGTAAATTTTGCTGATAACGCGGCTTTTTTTGATGAAGATAATGAGAAGTGAGCTTATTGGTCATTCATCCTTTCATCTCATAACAATTCTATCGTATAAGGATGAAAGATTATCATGTTCATATCTGCTAATCTTATAATTCAAGATTCGATTTTCCAGACATGAGAGATGCTAGTGTTGCAATAGAGAGGTTTAGCCGGAATGACAAAAAAAAGTCAGAAGACTATGACACTTCCAGTTGAAAGGAAACTGTTCGCAAAAACCTTATTGAATAGCTTAAATTAGGATAAATTTGATTCCTTCTCATATGGACTCACATTCTTTTCGTTTTTTCCCTCTATTTTCGATCAGTCCTATCTTCTATATTTGGCTCTGCCTTGCCTCTTCCTCTTAGCTTATTTAAGCATATGTTATCCACCCAATTACTCTTAAGAATATCGAGCCAACCACATCCTCAATTCTCTGTTTTCATTAGCTTTTCCCATATTTTTTGAAATATGAACCTGTCATGTTTTTCATTACTATCAATATTATAATATGACTTCACTTCATCGAGTCTTCCCCGTTGCTTCTTCTATCCCTTCATGTCCCAAAAGTTTTCTCTTAAAAGCATTCTGCAAATCTTTATCTTTTTTTCATCCACTCGTTTTTATGTCTTCCTTCTTTCTCTCGCAATCCTAGTAAGACGTCTACAAACGAGGAATAAAAAAGAACTCTGTAAAAATGAAAAATACTTCTCTCCACAACATATCTTCAGTTCAAGACGATATATAGTTTCTTCTCATTATAAATTAGCTTCTCCACAATCGTCCATCCTCTGCACTAACGTTCTCTTCTTTATTTGTCTGCCAATAAACTTTATTGGAGATAACTCATCCCAAAATAAGATTGACGTATGCTAATTGAAGAGAAGCACACGTGCGGCAGTCATTTTTGGTTGCCAAAGCTTGTCAATGGCTGTCTTCAAACTTTTTGTTCCGGTTATTACATAATGTAATTTCATTCTGAATTAATTAAACTTCCTTCCCAGAAGGTGTTAGAATTTGCTGCTGCTGAGTATGCATCCTGAAAATATGAAATAATTCCAGTTTAAATGGTTACACATCACTGAGAACAATTTGAAAACATCAAGTGAAAGTTATACTTGGCTCTTCCATGATTCAACATGAAATGCTATGACTGTGGAATTGAATAAGTGAGAAAGAAGGCGACATGACCCATGTTGTTAGAGAAGTCAGACATGTAGAGGCGGTGATACAACACACAATTGAACACACTATTCGAAACGTATTAGGAGATAAAACGGAAAACATGTTGTGTAAGCATAGAGCATAGGAAATAGAGAAAATATTGAAAGAAATGGATGAAGAGAGGGAGAACATTGGGATAAAGAAGATGAAGGCTACAAAACTCTGCATGCTTCCCGCCTAACCTTCTGAAGATTCCAAGAAAGCAGAATTACACAAGTGAAAGGAGAGAGGGCCTAAAGTTCATTAGATCCTCCAAAGATGTGCATTGGAAGAGAAGCTCTCTACTATCATGCATCTAAAGTTTATTCGCTCAACAATGAAACACTCGTGATTTCGCTTCAAAAAATGGCAGATGGAAGTAGCATTCAAAAACTATTGAAAACATTAACATTTAGTAATTGGATTGATAGTACAAGTAAAGAGCATAGCCTTTCCGCAATGACAAAAGAAATTGGCAGAACCTAGAGCCTAGAGACGATGTTCAATCAATTCTGAGTTCTTCATTACTTACTTATACTCTTTCCTATGAGAAGAAAAATAAAATACAAATTCTTCCTCATAAAATATCGGACTATTAGTCAGCTTTTAATTCCATTTTATCATTCTTAAACAAATGAAATGCTGTCTTTTGAAAAATTTTGTTCTTTCAACGTCTACATCATGTTCCTCAAGCAGTTCTCATTCTCTTCTCTTCAACTATTCTTCAGCTTTCTCTCCACTTTCCACATTATTTCCCCAACATCTCTTTCTCTTTTCTGTTTTTCTTTCGATCCTCATCTCCCTTCTGTTTCCATCAGCATGCAATAGCAAACGCTGAACGGAAAAGTTAAAAAAAAAAACAAAAATTCAACAGAAAGGGACAAAGTAACATCATCGTTGACAAATCCTAGTAAGGTTGCAATATAGTAAAAGTATTAACTGAGAAGGGAAATAAATATTTGTTAAAGGTTAACATGAAGGATATCACGAGTGCAAAAGCTGTATAAATTCTGGATAACTGGGGACGTTTTTGTTAATATTCTAATAAAACTAATTTGTCTGAGATTCCAAGAGTTCTGGGATTACTCCAACAATTCTCATTTTCATTTCAATTTCTGACGTAAATCGTTATTTTCGGATGATTCAGACGCGTCGAGAGGTTGAACTTAAAAAATTCGTTTTTTAATTATCCTATTTTACATCGTTCGTTGATCCTAGTTATCCCCAAAACTCTTGGAACGGAAAAAAATTGGAAAAATATACAAAATGCCAATAATAACATGTCTTCACCAAAGCTTCCAAGAGTAACAAGAGACGGAATTGAAATGAAAAAGACGTTTCGGCCACATCCACAACACATCAAGATGTACTTAACGTCTGTTTGGAAAAGTACGACATCATTAATATAGAAAATGTAATATTAAGAAAATAAATATTCTTAAAACTTGGAAAGGAAGCCTCGTTCTCATAGTTTATTTCAACTTCAACAACAACAAATAACAAATTATTTTTAGAAAATATGCAAATAACAATCTAATCTTCACCGAAAACAGTTCGCGTTCCTTGAGGTTTTGCAGCAAGCTGCTCTTTTTTCAAACGCTTAGCAGCCCAACTTGGATGAAGTTCCTCGGGTATTCCAGCAGGTCCTGTAGAAGGAAGACAAAAGTGTTAACTGAATTCAGATGTCACTAACCTTTGGCAGGATTTGGTTTTTCTGCAGCGAACGTTCTCTGAACTCTGTTTTCGGAGTGGGATTTATTCTAAAAATAGATTTTACAAGCTTCATTTACATATAATACTAACCTTGGAACCATTATCAAAACCTCTTCCACCTGCCCTATCCGATCCCATTCCACCTCCTCTACCAGAACCTCTTCCACCAGCTCTATCAAAGTCTCTTCCACCTCCTCTACCTGAACCTCTTCCACCTCCTCTACCTGAACCTCTTCCACCTCCTCTATCAGAACCTCTTCCACCAGCTCTATCAAAGTCTCTTCCACCTCCTCTACCGGAACCTCTTCCACCTCCTCTACCAGAACCTCTTCCACCAGCTCTATCAAAGTCTCTTCCACCTCCTCTACCGGAACCTTTTCCTTCTTCTCTATTGAAAGCTTTGTTTCTACCAACATTCTGTCTGAAATTGGGTAAATTAGATTGATTGCAAGTTAAACTAATAACCTCATTGATCCTTTCTCTCCTTTAGGATAGTTGAGAATTGGCAAATCTTCGTCATCATCAGCACTTTGTTCACCTTCTTCATTAGAATCAGTATCACAAGATTGGAAGAACGGATCGTAATTGCTACAGGTTGCCGCAGAAGGAGCTTCTTTCTTTTCTTCGTCATTCATTTTCTGTTTGTTGGTGTTTTTGAAAGACACTTCACCTCCCCGACTAAGTTCAATCCGTTGAATGACTCCCTACAAGAGTGAGAAATAGTAAAGTTTCAACAAAGTTCTTACCTCTTCTGATGATCTAAGTTGTGCTACATCCAACATACTCTGTAGAGTACCAACTTTCTTCTTCTTCTTTTTGGAAACCTAATAGCGTTACATTATATTTGACAAATTTTCATAACACCTACCTTTTTGGCATCTTCTGGAACTTGCGATTCCGGAAGTGCTGCCGCTTCTTGTTTCTTAGGAACCTTTACTTCTGTTTTCTGTTTTATAGAAGCATCTATTTCTGTTTTCTTTTTTTTCTTTTGTGTAGCTTTCTTCGATTCCTCTTGCTTCTTCTCAGAGAGAAGCTATGAATGAACGTATATTATAAAAACGAATACTATTACTACCTTAGGTTGTGCAGCTGTAGATTTGCTTTGACCATTTTCCTCTTCTTCGTCTTCATTATCTTCCTCATCTGTTTCTACAATCTCCTTCTTTCTTGGCGCTATCTTAGGTCGTTCCTTATTCTCTTTAACCCCTGCTAAGCCCAACAACTAAAAAACATATGAGTGGTTAAGATTTAATAACAGTATTACCAAGTTGCGCCTCTCAACTGTTTTCTCCGAATCATCCTCACTATCAGTTCCCATCTCGACATCGGATGGCTAAAACAGATACGAAAAATAAATTAATCAGCAGGAAATTCTTTTAAAACAACTGGATAAAAACAACAAACTTCTTCGTCATCCTCATCTTCATTGCTAGCTTCTTCCTCACTACCGTCAGCGTCATCGTCGTCAGCGTCATCGTCGTCAGCGTCATCGTCGTCAGCGTCATCGTCGTCAGCATCATCGTTGTCAGCTTCATCGTCGTCAATGTCATCGTCGTCATCAACTACATTTCTGGTAGCCACTTCGTCCTCATTGCTTTCTTCACCTTCTTCGTCGTTACTGTCATCTTCATCATCAGACTCGTCGGTGGTCTCTTCGCCAGAAACAGATCTCTTTCCAACTAAAAATATTAAGAAAGTTAGTGCTATCTAGATAAACATAACGTGGTATAGCGTTTGCATCTGTCAAACGAGCTTTTAGTGCCTGAAAAACCAAGTAAAAATGTGATACATCGAAGCTGAAACTCACTTTTTCTTTGAAGTTTTTATTTCGCACACCGAGCCGTTGAAGAAAATATGGTGTTGCACTTCTCCAATCTGAGTATGTTGCTTGATACTTCTCGACACACTTGAGAATGGGTTTCTCAAAAATTAGTGAATACATCACTCTTTCATTTGCATTTTTCGCACCCTGAAAATGCAGCTCAACTTCGTGGATATAAAAGGAACTCACGGGCAGAAGCTTGACCTTGGGTTCATCATTTACAAGCGCCAACTTCGCAACATCATCTACTTTCAAACCCTGCAACAATCAGGGTTAATAATCAATCCTGAAGAGATTCCAACCTTTATCTCGTTCAATTCTTCCTCAATTTTCTCGATTTTACGTGCAGCCTTCGGATCTTCCTTTTTTTCATTACATTGTGACAAGAACTTTTTCTTTCTTAGAAGCTTTTGTTGAAGAAAACGTTGGGCCTGCTTGATAGGTGCCCGGAGAGAAACAATCTCAACCATTTCTATAGAGCAGATTAAAGATATCAAAGCCATACCTCTTTATTCACTAAGTCAGGGGTGATCAGTATCTTGGGTTTCGTTCCTGAACGCTTCGTGCTAACCCCTTCCGGCTCCATATATAAAATTTAGTTACAATGCTTAGAAATACTCTATCATGAAACAGAAACGATTCATTAAAGAGCATGCAAAGAAGACATGCGTAAACAGCATGCAAGGTAGCCACGCCTTTCTCCCACGTAACAGAAGTAAAAAGTAAAAAGGAGTAGATACAGTCTAAACTGGGAACTGTCTATCAATTTTCTATTTAGACTCCACCGTTTTCTTGAGTTCTTTTCTAACTGCAGAAGAGCTGCAAATATAAAATAAGTGAGGGAAAGAAATCTGTTCTCAGAAGAAAACTTACACTTCAGAAACATCAGTTTTGAGTTACATTCCGACAGTTTTTTTTATCATATGCACCTAGTTTCTATATAACTCTACGACTGAACAAGAACAAAAACACAACAAATGAAACAATACAGAGATAATTGACATATTCAACAAAGGCGAACGCTAAGACCGAGGATCAAATCTTAATAAGAAGCGTCTATAACGTCCACCACACTACCCTACAAGTTATGTTTCAGGGATTGGAAGAAATATGAACTAGAAAAAACCACATATCCTTCTCAGTATACAATAAAGAATTTTTGAAAATGAAAAAAGTATTCGATCAGGATGAGATTCGAACTCACGCGGGGAAACCCCAATGGATTAGCAGTCCATCGCCTTAACCACTCGGCCACCTGATCACGGGGTAA